GTCCACTTCTTAAAATATATATTAATTAAATAATAAAATAATTATTAGTTGACTCCATCGTTGACCGTTGACTTCCGGTGAAAAATCGTTGACTTTCGACGTTGACCGTTGACTTCCGGCGTTACTTCCGGCGTTGACCGTTGACTTCCGGCGTTGACCCGTTGACCCCTAATATGCATCATATGTATGAAGTAAATATGCATCCAGTACCATGCATTCAATATGAACTAAATATGCATGAGATATGAATTACACATGCAGTCCTTATGAACTAAATATGCACCAATAATATCAACTAAGTATACACCTGTTATGAACTAAATATGCATCTGTTATGAACTAAATATGCATCATGAATGAACTAAATATGCAGCGAAAAATATGCAATAAAAATGCATTTTATATAGGTAATTTATGATGCATATTTAGTTAATTTATTATGAATATTTAGGTAATTTATGATGCATATTAAGTTAATACGAAATACATACTTGTTATATTTAAATTAAATATATAATAATATTTATATAATTAATTTATTATGCATATTTACTTAATTCATGTTACATATTTAGTTTTTACGAAATGCATATTTAGTTCATGAACAGTGCATACCTATTTTATTTGAGATCCAATCATAACAATTTATTTGTGTTATTAATCAATTTAAAATTAAAGTTCATTATATAATAAAAATCATTAATTATTATATTTAATTTAATTGTATAAAATGTATATTTTATTGCATATTTTCGTTGCATAGTTAGTTCATTCCTGATGCAATTTAATTAGTAAAATATGCATATTTAGTACATAAGCAGTGCATACATAGTTGATATTACTGGTGCATATTTAGTTCATAAGGATAACATATATAATTCATTTATGATGCATATTTAGTTCATACTAAGTGCATAGTACTGATGCATATTTACTTCATACACAATGCATGCTAAGGGTCAAAGGTCAATGATGAAAGTCAACGCCGGAAGTCAACGGTCAATGCCGAAAGTCAACGGTCAACGCCGGAAGTCAACAATTTTCGCCAGAAGTCAACGCCGGAAGTCAACGGTCAACGCCGGAGTTAACGGTCAACGCCGAGTCAATGGTCAATTGTCAAAATAATATTTAAATAATTAAAATAATAAAATAAAGAAATAAGTAATAAAAATAAAGAATTATTATTTAATTGAAGAGTTAATCTTAGCCACACATAATGTACCAATCTAATGGCTAGGAATGGGTCTCACATTCACACTTTAAATATGTGTACTCATTGGATCCAATCCCTATATATATATATATATATATATATATATATATAAATTTATGTTCTGGTTTTATTTGAATTTGGCGTTTGATCGAACCAAGAAAATCCAGCACGTGAGCCACGAACCCACACCTGATCTGGTCATGACCCATAACCGGTCTCTCTTTATTTTTTTAAATGGCCAAATTAATTAGAGATATTAATTGCTCATTTATCTTATCATTATGCCCTTAAATTTCTTAACCGTTGAAAACGTAAAATTCCTACCCTCACGCTCTTATTTCTCTTTTTCTCGCTCGCTGAAGCTCCCCCTCTCTTCCATCTTTATCTCGATCGAAATCTCTCTCTCCCTCACCATCATAACAGTCGGCTTCATCACAAAGAAAGTTAGTGAAACCTTTCTCTCTTACCGATCATCTCATTTTCGTATCATCACCACCATCGCCGCTGCACCTCGCCGCCTTGAACCTGCAGCGTGGCCAGCACCCCATCATCCTGCTCGTGACCACCCGACGTGAATCAGAAGGTCCTCAGCCCGACCTAATCGGTTGCGCTCCTCCGCGAAGCCGCTGCTCAGGCCATCGTGCGATCCCTATTCATTTCGAGCACTGCTCCTCCATATTTTCCGGCGAGTTCCCTCTGGCAAGAAGCACGCCCTAAACACGTCGCCTCCATCGTTACTCCCTGTATGCAAGCCGACAATGTGTCTCGTCAACGGTCGCGAGCCCGACATTCCGCTGTTACAGACGCGCGTGTTTAAGCCCTTTGTCCGACCCGCCTTTTCTGATTTGTTTCTCGAATATGGGCAACATTTTTGAACCTTTTCGTCATTTCGTTCGTGCTCAGGCATTGTGATGTTGAATATATGTCGTACGTGCTATCGAATCTTCGTTAGAAGTTGAATTCATTCCGTTTTGTCAATATATTCATTTATTTATTCATTTATGTTAACATGACTTGTCGGGGATGATTCGAGCTTTCGTTTTTGTAAAACGAGTATCATTATGTTGTTGTGATTATTTCGGATCGTTTCAGATTCTCGATATCATTTTTCGAGTTGTCGTTTTACCGTTTGTTCGATTTGTTTATGAAATGAGTTATCTCGAAAAATACAGCTCTGTTGTGCTGCTAATATGGCCCTCATAAGTTTGTTATATGAAGTTGAGTTCTTCGTAAGAAATGAATTTCGTTTTGTTGGCTTTCTCTCAGATTTGGAATTTCAAAATTTGGAGTTGATTTGAATTTATTACTTATTTTTGAAGTTGTACATGCATGCAGTTTTTTTGTAATTTCGAGCAGATTAGTGGATCATGATGTTGGGATGTTTTTGGCGATCTTAATGTGGCTACGTGAAAATATGATTATCATGAAACCTGTAGCACATGTTATAAGCTTTCATTAGGAGTTGAAATCATGTAATTTGGAGTTTTGGTTGATTTTTTACGATTTTTCAAAGTTGGGCTTATGCCTAGATTTTTTAAAATCGTGGTTGTGTATATGATTTGATTGTATGTTCTGAAATGAGGCCCTAACGTGATTATTTGTAAAAATGCTCTTCATGAAATTTATAGGTTTCCTTCTAGTTTCTCAAGGTTTTGTGTTTGTATGATTTGGAGTTCTATAACTTGAGTTATTGTCGTTTTAATGAAGTGCTATAAATTGATAAATGGTTATTCTGGCAGATTCCTTGACCTTAGTGTTTTATGCTTAAACTCAGTTTTAAAGCTATTGTTGGCTTAAGTGATCAACATGAAAGTTGTGGATATATGTGTTAGATACTCATTGGTTTTGGAATCACCTGAATAGCATACTTGTAACTCCTGTTATCTTGGAAATACCGAGTCTATGCGAGTTCATTGTGCAAACGCGCTATTCTGAACTATGTGGTTTAGTGATATCGCATGAGTGCAGTTATAATTGTTCGTGTGTCGGATAGTTTTTCATAGGACTATTTTGTGTAATGTAGGTATTTGACGAGCTGTTTCTCGGCCTACCTTTTTCCCCCGATTTTCTGTGATTCTTTCTCCGGTTACCAGGTGGGTTTAATTATGAAATTGCTATGCTTTAATTAATTGTTTTGTTGTGGTATGATCAATGTGTACATGTGGACCATGTAACCTTCGATGTGAGCTTTACCGGCCGTCGAACGCTTATCCCCGTGTCTATAGAACGTATCTTTGGGTAGTCTCCTTTATTATTGTTGGCAGTCAGGGCGTGAGCCTTGGCTGGTGATCCTCGTTGGTAAGTCCAAGGCGAAAGTCTTGGCAACCGGGGTGGATTTACTCCTGTTGGTCGGGCACTCGTTGTAAGACCTTAGATAAGGCGTTTGGTATATAGCTTGGCAGTAGTCTATTACAATAGGTGTGCACATGAGATGATTATTGATTATTGATAGGAGATGGGACGATTATTGATTCGTATACAGGCTGCGACCATACCTAAAATTTTTATTGATTACTGAATATTAATTATTTCATAGTGATGAGCACCTCGATTTTCCTATTGTGCTCACCCCCACCTGCTCTTCATGGATGCAATTTAGTGTTGCGAGCACGGCGGGAGGAAGCGAGTTGTGGTCATAATAAAATGTTTTTGCTTCCGCCTAGAATTGATTATTGCTTTTATTATTATTGGATTATAGATAGGGAATATTGCCCTAGGATATTGAGAATATTGGATTGCATTATGATATTGGGATTTTATTGTTGATTATGAGGATTGATGGTTGTTTGAATATTGAGAAATTGTTAAGTACTGATATTGTTTCGAAAAGGAGTAGCACCTCAAGTATTGTTAAACTTAAAAATTTTATTCTGAATTTTGGCAAATAAAAATGGGGTGTTACAGTTTGGTATCAGAGCCAGTCTGCGTTTCTATAGACTGGTTAATGTGAATTATGTGATTATATGCTTTGACCTTAAGTTATAACCACTCGCTCTCGTCGTGTCTCGCCAGCTTAGGTATGAGTACTGAATGATTTTGAGATTATTATGCATTGCGTGATTATTGATTATTGAAATGAAATCGGGGCTTAGGAACTATCCACATATGTTTTAATTTTGAACTCTAGAGTTGAACTCTAGTTTTACCTTATTATTGTGCTAAACTCTTTCGGTCCATTTTTCAATGTAGAATAATAGCTCGCCAAACCCGCAATAGAAATCAACAACAACCACATCCCCCGCCTCCACCTCCTCCTCAGCAGCACCCCCAGGGTAGAGATCCCATTACCCAGCCTGTGCTCGATTTCCGTAACATGCATCCTCCAACGTTCACCGGGGTTGAGGGCCCCGAAGCTGTGGCCGAATGGCTTCAGCAGCTAGAGAGTATCTTCAATCTTCTATTCACCACTGATGAGGTGAAAATCCGTTGTGCCTCGTTGCAAATGATCGGAGATGCTAGAACTTGGTGGACC